CTATTCTTTTCCATGAGCTTCCCCATCTCGTAGGCGCAATTCACTTGGTTGATTATGAAGGGCAGTGCTTGCTCTTTGTGCGACGGGACATGCTTAACGACCGTATGAAGCTTAAGCTTTTCAACCAACTTCTGAGACTGCGTTTTATCCCGCTCCTCCTCGGTATCAATCTTGTCGGATACCGAATTGGATTTGTCCGCAGCAAACACCTTGTCGCCCAGAGCAAGGGAAATCGGCTCTAGCGACATATACTCCATGCGGGTAGGATGAGGGCGATGAAACATGATAACCTGAACAGACACATTCGTCTCCGGCGGACAATATATCCGAGGGATCTTAAATGACGAATGCGTATTCACATACAGGTGCGACGGGTTAAACGCTGTCGGTGGCTCTCGTGGATTGGTCGTCCCCAGCACATGCATGGCAGATCTGCCACAGAGCGTGAATATCCTCACAATCGGATGGGGGCTGTTGCGAAAAAGGATTCCGGCACGCAGAGCATTGTCAACATTCCTAGGCTAGTAAATGCGAGGCCTGTCAGTATTCCACCAGCAGACCGTATGAAAGCCAACCAATGCGTCGGCTCACCTCAACATCCTCCAAGACCGTCAGCACGAACAAGTCGAGCTCCGAGTTCTTCCACCCGACAATCACGCCCTGTGACGATGACCGAGGAAGGTCATATGGCCAAAATACCCGCAGCAATCCATCGCTCATGAGCATGTTGTCATCCTTCAAACGTGATTAAAAGGAGCCGCGGCGGCGTAACTGTTCTCGGGCAGATACGCCCAGGTTGACGTATCGAGGGTGCTGCCATTAGACCTATTAGCTTCGGTTTTGTTCGCAGGCAGGTTTCTCGCTCCATTGGATTGCGGGCTTGATTTAATCGGTGTGTCGCATACCAGTTCGCCTTCTTTCGCAGCCAGATAGCTGATAGGGAGGACAAGGAGGAAGTAAAAAACAGACAAAAGCACAAATCCCTTCGCTGTTCGTGTCTATTCGTATATGAGAATTAGTCCATGCGATACCAATGCCGTGTAATAGAAGTCAGGCCCGGGCCGCGCGTACGACGGAGCCGAACAAGTATCCCGCGGTGGGTAAAAGATAGAGAGGGGCTGGCAAACAACACGTACCACAACGCCGTGATCCCAGGCAAATATAGCCAGTTCATATAATCGAGTGACGAGATCCCACCTTGCGGTGATGTAGCCCGCGACGAAGATGCCGAGTGTGAGAATAGAAAAGGGGTGCATGAAATACGGTGGTTCGGCGGGTAGCACCTTAGTTTGCGCGCATAGCTGTTGAAACTAGAGTTAAGAAGGGAGTGACAAAATTTACTGGTCTGAGATTGCACGGAAGGAATGACGATCGCTCAAGGAAGGCGACGAAACTTGCGAGACCAAATGTCAGGACAACTGGTAAACCCTGGCTGTTTGTGGTGAGGACTGGAGACAATACGCTTATAGATTAAGAATACTATCCCGGTGGAGCGTCTAGACCTCCGCGGTCCCACGTGACTGATGTGGATGTAGATGAATGGACTATCCATTCATTTTACCCTAAGCAATACGTGCAAAAAAACAATGACTGGAATTTTTTGGATAACATTATTCCTACATATTTTATCCTCATGTCCGTAGATCACACATACAGAGATTGATACCATCCCAACGCCGAACCGCTATGACCCCCGAGAAAAGAAAAAGACGCAAATACTAATCTATAAAGCCTTGATGCCCTGGAAGACCTTGTTTGCTTGCAGCTTCTCATCCGCTTTGACGAGATCACGCATGATCTGTCGCTTCTCTTCCACCGTCAACTCCTTACCAGACGACTCGGTCTCCGCCTTCCATTTCAACAACATCGCCTTGAGAAGGGCACTGCCCTCCTCAACTTCATCTTGCGAGTATCCATCGATGGCCATGGATGACTGCTGGTTTTGCTGTTCCGATGAAGTAAAGTCTTCAAGTTCCTCTGCCTTCTGACGGGCCATGTTAACCACTTTCTCCGGAAAGCGGACCAATTCGGCAACGTGGATACCGAATGACTGGTCACAAATGCCAGGTTCGACACGGTACAGGAGAGTGACCTGGTTCCGCTTGGACTTTTTATCTTCACTGTCATCATCGGTACCATCGCCGATGAAGGCGACCACGTGCAGGTTCTTGACAGACTTGGGGTATCGATCGGCGAGAGCTGTCAATTCATGGAAGTGAGTAGCGAAAAGACCAAAGCAGCGAATCTCTGTGACGATGTGTTCGGAGATGGCCCATGCTAGGCCGAATCCATCATATGTGCTTGTACCGCGCCCAAGTTCGTCGATGATGATAAGAGACTCGGACGTTGCCGACTTGAGAATATTCGATGTCTCAAGCATCTCAGCCATGAAAGTAGACACTCCCTTGAGCTGCGAATCACTTGCACCAACACGTGCAAGGATGCAGTCAAAAATGGTTAATTCTGCTTCCGTGCAAGGCACAAAGCAGCCCGTTTGAGCCATGAGGGCGATAACACCGATCTGGCGAATATAAGTCGATTTACCTCCCATGTTCGGACCAGTAATGATTAGGAAGGAGGACTCGTCTCGAACCAAAGCCACATCATTAGTGATGAATGAGATGTCATCCTGCATCTCCATACAGGGGTGACGCGCTTCCTTGAGAACCGTGTTTCCGGTGCCTCGTGGGTGCATCTTGGGCCGAGAATAGGGGGTCGGCGCATGGACAGAAGCATGAGCGAAGCTTACAATGACATCGAGATGTGCTAGCACACCGGCAAGTCGTTCCAGGACGGGACAGTAGGACGCGGCGACATTGACGACCTCATTCACCAGGCCGGTCTGAGTTCTGTTGTAGTTCGAGGACAGTTGATCATGCTCCCGGCGAAGTGTTTGCATAGTCGTCGTAGTAAAGTAGACGCCGTTCTTCTGTGTAGAGCATTCCTGATACTCTCGTTTGTTGCGGATACAGCCCGACTCGTTGCGAGTAAGTCGGAAACACCATCCGTGCACCCTGTGGTTCTCCAAGAAGAGCTTCTTCTCCATATCTTGGTCGAGGTCCCGAGCTACCCTGCGGTGCTCAACACCCATGTCATGACGGAGTTTGTCCAGCTTCTTCCTGATGATCCGCAGACTCTCATCAAACTCAGGTTTGATAATAAACTCATGGTTCTCCAGCGCATCAAGATCAACTGTAGTCTCAACCATCTCCTCCAGTTTCACTAAGCTGTCGGAGTGACTCCGGAGGTTGGAAGTGTACTCCGTCTCCAGAGGTGTCTGATATTTTTCGTCCATCACATTCTCGAGAGAATTGACAAAACCAGGCAAACGAATAGCAACCTGATACACCCGCACGACGTCCTCCAGGTTTGCCTGTTTGCGCTGGAACCGCTTCGCTAGTCTGTACAGATCCGGTATGGAGCGAAGGTGCTCCTCCTGCATAGTCTGTCTCAGCTCCGTGTTGACGACAAAAGCCTCCACAAGCTGCTGTCTCTTCTCGATCTCCGCCAAATCCATCAACGGCTGCTTCAGCCACTGCGCAAGCAACCGGCTCCCAACAGGCGTCTTGCAGTGATTCAACAAGCCAAACAAACTCATAGACTTCGATCCGTCCCGCGGGCCAGGCATAAGGTTAAGAGCACGCAACGCCGACGAATCCAACTTCATAAACTGCGACAAATCATGCTGATAGAGCTGGTACTGGCCGAAATTCGTAGGATCAGACATAACGCCAAGGTACTTAATCAACGCAGACGCTGAGCCCATAGCAAGCTTCAGCTCCGTCTGCGGCAGCGTGCCAGCCGACCGCTCATCCCTCAACAACCTCGTCAGATCCTGCTCAATATCCTTGACACCAAAATCAGCCACAGGCCTCTCGGAGATGGCGATCCCGCAGTTATCCGCAATAGCTCGAATCTTCCCCAATTCAACGTCCTTTTTATTAGAGTCCATCTGCACCAGACACTCCTTGACCCCAAGCTGGATAATAAGTGACTCAAAGTTGGAATAGATATCGTTATCCAGAAACTCGCTAACACCGAGCTCCCGCACACTGGCGTCCGCAAAGCACACTCCCACATTCCTGGCCTCTGCAGCCTTGGCCGAGATCTTAACCGCTAAGATAATAGGAGCAGAGTCCATGGATGATCCACCAACGCTACCTAACTCTTCTTCCACATCTTGGAGGTTTCCTGGGCTAGCTTGTTTTACCAGCTTCCAATGGCCTTTGCCCGTTCCGACCGAGCCCCAGATTTCAATACGCTTGTTGAGTCGGAAGAGAGCTTCGCGCAGAAAGTTGCGGAAGACAGTCACGCTCATGGTGACGGAAGGAAGGCCGCCGGAGTCGCTGCGGCCTAGGTTGCGGAGTATAGATGTGGTCTTATAGACAGTACGAGCGATGAACTCGGCTTCGGCGCCATGCGCAGAATACCAGTCACCGCGGTCGAAAACGCGGATAGTTTCATCGTTGCTGTTTGCTGCGAGGGAACGATAAAAACGAATGAAGCCGACTTCGTCGTCAACCTGAAACAGGACAAAATGTTATTGAATGTTCGAGAACGCGGTTGTTTTGTTCACTTACCTTGAGTTCTGGACGAGAAGACATCTTGCCAGTTAGTCTCCAACAAGATGAATGGAAGACTGACTATGAGCTCCGCCAGCGGTGATCTATTTCGATAATTCCAGGAGACGCGCTCCGTGGCAACGCGGTCACGTGCAGTCGCGTTCGCGATATATTGAAGCAGCATTGGCCAATCACAGGAGCCGTTGTAATTGCACAAAGTGACAGGTCCAAAAAACGCCTACACGTCAGAAATGAAGTACTTCATGTTCAGCATGATTGATATGTATTTCCTAATAGCTAGAAAAGTATATTATAGATGCAACGCTAATAGATGCTACATGAGGGGCTAATAAAATCATGTGTATCAAACTCCACAGATGGGGTATCCAACCCAGCAACACCAGACATCCAAAACACATTAAACAGTAAAAGTCTTAATTAGGGTTTCGAGGGTGATGCAGGCTCGTCCTCGTCGAACTTCAGTTCGCGCACCTTCGCGCCGATATCCTTGAGGTTGATATCCGCAGAAGATTTCAGAACCACGGATTTGACCTGATTCACGGTGACGAGATCGACCCATTGTCCAGCAATGTCGGCCCGAGCCAGCACTTCTAAGCAAATTTCCACCTCTCTCTTTGAAATAGGATTCTTGGATGAGTCCTGGACGTTCTGTACAATCATCTCTAGTCGGAACGGCTTCCTCTGGGCAGCCACAGTAGCTGTTGGCCCACTACCCACATAACCAGCTGGCCTCAGTAAAGCCAGCACGCCGGCAACTTCCTCAATCCGTTCAACAGCAGCACGACGAAGCAGCATCTCCTTTGATGGAGGGGGCGGCAATTTCGACTGACGGAGTGCCTTGCTCCTGATACGATCCAGAAGTCCTGTGCGACGAGCATTAGTCGCATCGGGTGTTTTCCCAGGGGACTCCTCCACCGGCGCTTCTTTAAGCCTCTCCGTCTTCATTTTAATTACCCCGCCCTTCAGATCCTGCAACCGCTGCTGGCCTTTCCGAAAGCTCGTGAATGGGGTAAGCGACTCGTGGATAGACGAAACGCCCAGCGTTGCGATAAAATCCACCTGACTTTCATCACCATCAGCGGCATCCAGAGCCTTTTCCCAGAGCAAGTCGACGATTTGCTCGAACTCTTCTTGCAATACATTATCGTCGATTACCCACCGCTCCCGACGCACACGCTCCAAACAGACCTTTCCCAATCCATAATTGGCAATTCGATAGTTGAGCCCCGTGGCAACCGAGTCTTGCTCCCAAATCCATAGTAAACGTTGCACATCCTTGACCACGACCTTCCGCTTCTTCCACAACCGCTCAACACTAGGAAGAAACTCCCTCAAATCCGCGGGGGCAACCGTACCGTGATGCGCATGGTGAAACGTGATGGCTTTAAGAAAAGCCGAATGCAGCTTAAGCAAGTCGTTCACACAGGCAGGACGCACATGGAGAACTGCCGCGCTAGGCCGGGATGTGGTCTTACCCCTGGCACGCTTCGATGGCGAAGTCGGGATCGCAGAAATTTCCCCGGCAACAGCAGTCCGTGAAGCACGGGTAGGAGACGCATAGTGGCCACTTCGGGGGGTAGATAATGACAGTTCTTTGATCCGGAGAGATTTTGAGGGCGTAAGTGCTTCGGTCGTGGGTTCCCCCTTTTGAGTCCGTGGGCTGCTGCAGTCTACGTTCTCGAGTTCGTTCAGTTTTCGTTTCTTGGAAGGCGAGACCGGAAGACTGGCCACGACCTGCTTGCCATCTGCGGCTGATCTGAGACCGGGCTTGGTCGTTCTTGCGAAACTTTGGATGCCGGCCTGTCCTCGGGGAAGGGGGGCTTGTCGGGTGGATGTGCGCGGCATCGTGACTGCCTTGCTTGTTGAGGATAAATGAGATGAGATATAGATTATGGAAGGAACATATAGACAATTAGGAAGGTTTGATGCATAAAATACAAATGCAATTGGGGAATGGTTCGCATGGAAGGAGTGGGTGGGCACTTGATACTATTTAGCTGGCGATTAGGTTTTTCCCTGGTGGAGCGCGTCGCGTTTGGCGCGTGTTGGCGTCGTGTCCGGATATGGTTATATTGGGTCGCCCACACCGGATCTACTCCACTGTCAGTGACACGAACCCCCGGGGGTTGTTTAGAAGTATTTATAAGATGAATATATTTGGAAGGGCTTTCAAGTCGAGTCCGAAGACTACCTACAGCTCTACAAGTCCTCAAGTGGATAACTTGTGCCCATGGCGCTTCGTCACTAGGGTAATCGACATGACAGGAATGCAACATACCACCCACGACTACTAGTTTCTACAGAGCCAGTAGAGCCCCTCTATCGAATCGTCTAGCTTATCGGGATTTAGTATCAAGTCATCAGACGTGGTCAGTGCCAACGATAACTGTACAATACAAATACAGTCTTCTCTTCCCTTGCATAGTACTACCGGGACTGTACTTCTAATCATTACCATCATCACCCACCAACCATTTCAATGATAATAACAATGCCAATGAAAAATAATAGCATTAATCGCGTTCATGAAAGAGGATATGAGCTAGCTGATATTAACATAATTAAAACATTGCAATAACGCGCTTTATTCAATTCCCAGACGCAAAGTCCCTCCAAATTACTTGCTACCGCTCCACCAGCTCGACAGAGATCCCTTCGCCTCATTCGTCTTCTGCTCCACCGTCTTATCAAATTTATCAACGTTGGCCTTGATCGTTGCCGCCGCATCCTGCCGCACGTCGTTGAGCTTATCGAGACTTTCGTGGGCTAGTCCTGAAGCACGGTTGCTGGCATCTTGTGCTTGGGTGCGGGCGTTTGCCACCTAATCACTTATTAGCTCTCATTTATAAAATAGGAAGAGATGAAAATAGATAAGAGTATCTGAGCAATTTCAAATAGGGAGACAAAGAACATACCGCTTCGTCAATATGCGCACCAGCCTCCGCACCAACTTTTTGGCCAGTTTTCTCGGCCTTGTCCGTAGAGACCTTGTTGCGGGCTACATCGGCATCATCTACGAAAGGTCAGTTTTGTGTTCGCGACGATTAAAAGGTAACGGGGATTTGGAAGGGGGCGGAAATACGTTTAATCTCTTGCTTCGCAGCCTTTGGGTCACCACCGGCCCGATACAGATAGTAACCGCCAACACCAGCGGCAGCAAGAGCAGCGTAGAGACCGGTTCTGTTCGACATTGTTATGGATGGATTGTAGTAGCTGTGATGAGATTCGAGTTCAAGGTTGCCTTATAAATGAAAGTCTATTAGATTGGGTGTGAGAAGTTGAGGCAAACAGGACCTTTAAAAAGTCTGGGGTAAGAGGGAGACCATGTCATGGGGTATGACGTCTACGCCTTGGAGTTTCCTTGTGTTATTTTTTATTTCACAGACCAGTACGTACATAGTACATGGGTTTTTCACTAGGTGTGTACTCTTCTGTTGGCTACCAGTTTCTGGAATCTACTAAGTACTTTACTTCTTGGTTCTTCAAGTTGTTCTCACGTATGTACATGTACGCACTACATTCGTACCTACATACATACTACATACATATGTACATATCCAGTGGTCATGTCTCATCTGCGAATACTACTTGAAGACTCTGCTCGAGCGTTGCATCGCTTTTCTATCGACGTCACCTGATAGTCATTTCCTTATGTCCTTCTCCATGGCGCGTTGCGTTTCAAGGAACCGATGATTTGATGTAAATGTGGGGCTCAACGTCATGGATGGATGGATCGTCGCCATCCGTTCCGCTTCGGGGTGCAGGCTGGAAGCATCCATTCCTAGGATCCCGGGAGTTCCTCTGCAGGCACCTCGTCTAGTTGGCACATCGGTGCTACGCATTTACATAACAGACGACAATAAAGATTAGATAATGCTTGGCCAACAAATTGACCACCGTATTTATTGTCCACTTATTTGCAAACTAGTTGATCACGTACATGCACGCATAATAATCATATCGAGACCCGAATGTAGTAAAACACGATCATCAAACCCCGCCACACAAACAAAATGTCCACACATATATATATAGATAGATAGATAGAAATAAGGCAATCCTAATAAACAATTGAAGCCACACCACGACCAGAGTAGAAAAACTCCATCCAGAACCTCGTAGCTGAACTCGAGATTGAGGCCGAGGGGTATCTTCATGCGCTATGGACAAACCCATAAACAACGCCCGAACATGCGAACATGCAAAAACCAGCGCGACCCTGATAAGAAAAGACAGACAGGGGAAACAACAGGAAAAGAAATGAAGACACCCGAAAGAGACTGGTAGCCACGAGTCAAAACCCCTCCCTGTTAATCGAGTCACTTATGCATCCATCATATTCATCAGTCATCACTTCATAACAATTCCCAGTCAAGCGGTGGTGTATAGCTCCCAGGGAGTCGGTAGATCGAGGATCTAAAACGCCATAACTATATCCAGGATAGCGTAGAGGAAAAAGTGAGAGATGGCCAGGTGACTTGTGCTATGCAACACCGGCTCAACATCACAAAAGAAAAGAAAAAAGGTAGAGCGAGCGGGAGAGATCGCAACCTTTGCCGATTTCACCAGACCACTTCGGGCACCGCGAATTTATGTGAATTGGTAGATTTCCGATACATTGGTAACATCCCGGACGATATATTTCAAGCAAAAAGCTTTGCAGACCCCTTATTCTCACTGGTTGCGACAGCAACCAGGGCCTCAAGCCTACCCATACCGGGCTCTCTGCTCGACGGGTGGTTATTGTTGAAGAAGTCAGTCCCGGGGTTGGGTTTGCTATGGTACCCATCGGACTGTGATGCCTATAGTTCAATTAGTGACCTGGCCGTTATCGATTCATCGGGTAACGGGTGCGTACTGTTTGAGACGTATCGGATGAGAATGGGGTATGATGCGGCTCGATGTACCCGTTGTTGTGCACAATCGCAGGGTGGTACTCAAGAGATGCCGTTGATGGGGTATGAACTCCTTCACTGCTGCTTGAATCCTCCGGGGATGTTCGAGTAGCATGAATGGCGCTGCTATAACTTGTGCCGCGAGAATGGTGTCCACGGTAATCCTGGTATTGCTGCTGTGGATGGTAGGATGAAGACGGGCGAGAACCAACACTGTGAAGTTCTGCTATAGTTTGCTGGCTCCAGTGTGATGCATCTTTATGGAGGGGCTTGTCCCGGATATGCAATCCAGTCAAATTTGTGTGCAATGACATGTCCCAGGAAACATGACCCCGTCGATGTCCAGGACCAGAAATCGGGGGAGGTGGCCGAACTGAGGGCTTGTTGTAGTTGAACCCTCCGCCAAAATTATAGTTAGGTGGCGGTTTATTGGTGTTATCAAGGTGCATTGGGCTTGGCCTGCGCACCGGTGGAGTGAGAGGTCGCTGCGAGACAACCTTATCAAAGCTCTCAATTCCTGGCAGACGCGGTGGTTGTTCGTCCTGTGTATTGGCGCTATAGGATGGCGCCAATGGCTCGGTAGGCTGGTAATTGCCATATCCGCTAGTAGCGGGACGTGAGACAGTGGAGTACGTGGATGGATGCCAGGTACGTCTCCGCAAATCGGCGTCCGCTGCATTGTGCGATGTCTCATCCCGCGATACCGAGTAGTTCGAGCTCACTGGACTTGCATAAACCCCTCCCGGAGGGTGATATGCAGCTGTCGAGCCTGTGTTTGCGTAACCAGGGGGGTAGGCATTGACCGGTTGCGATGCGAAAGGATTGGCTCCCGACGGAACGGACAAGCGACGCGCAGCGGTTTTACCATCCCAGAAACCAGAGGCATGAGATGCTGCAGACATCGGCGAGGCGACATGAGGACTGCCGTTGCCTCCAGCAAAGATATGAGAGGGTGCGTAGGGTGAGCCAGCCGCAGCTGGGCCCGGTACCCCACGGATTTGACCTGGTGGTGTACTAGGGGGATCGCCCATTGTATCTAAAGCGAGACGAGCTCGTCCATCATTTGCCATGATCAAAGGCGGAGGTCGGCGACGAAGCTCCGGAGGTTGACTAAATGTCGACGCGGTCGACGTGATACTCGATGTGGACAAATTTCGGCTATGGCCTCTGCTATGAGTTCCCTGACTGCCACCCGTGCCAGCCCTAGCTCGACCCTGAGGCCGCACTCGATCGGTTCGAATCTGACGCTGAAACCGGGTTCCGGTGGCTGCCAGCGAGTCTCCCGGAATCTCCTCGTTCACGTGCACCGTTTGAGCATGCTGCCGCAGGTTATCAAGTCTGGAAAATCGTCGCGAGCAATGGCATTGGAACGGACGCTCCCCAGTATGTTTCCGAATATGTCTGGCGAGATGCTCGCTTCGGGTAAAGCTTAGATTACAGGGCGGGTAGTCTGTGCAGTAAAACCGTTGTCCTTTTTTCTTCTTAGACGGGGGAGCATCGCCTTTGTGGTCCGAGTCATGGTCCGACCCATCGCGATCACCCTCCGAGTCTCCGTGCGATGCCTCCTCGGATACTGACAAGCCACTCCCTTGCGAGCCTGCGGGTTGAGAAGGGTGGTCAGGGTTGTTTACATTTCGGGGCGTACTGCCGTCCTTCTCCATATCCGCCATTTTCGCGGCGTCTTGCGCCTCCGGTACGTTAGTTAGATGGGGTCGAGGTGTGGTCGGTGGCGTCGCCTCCTCCATCACACGGTCTTGCGGCGAGGAAATATTATTCACAGGTAAAAATGATGACATATTGACACAGGCGCCGAATTAGGGTCTATGTACTGATCGATAAGGGGTTTTCAGGTGACCCTCGGCCCATCAAATACGATGTTTCAGCTAAAATGGTTGGGGTGCCGGGGAGTTGAGAAAACGCGGTGTCGATCCCACGAAGCTGACTACTAAACCGATTTGCGCAACTCCTGTCAGCATGTGGGCCGTACTCGATGTCGAGAGGACGAGGAGCAAGGGCGCTGAGCCGATGGGGTGGTGGCTTCTTTAGTGCTTTGTGTTAGAACTTACGGATAGGTATTTTTCCTTATTCCAAATCCGGCCCAGGGGTGAGATGAAGAGGGAAGGGGAGGCAAGTGGAATGTAGCAAAAGGCTGATGATGATTGTTTTTAGCCGAATGCCCAACGATGATGGCGAAGCAGTAGGTAGGTTGTACGCGGTAGGTGGCAGAGCACAACCATTAGCATCGAGGACACATTTCTTGCAGACGTGCCTGGCCAGGGAGACGCTAAACGTGGACCGGAAGGATGATGAGGAAGAGGGAGGTGGATGTAGCGTAGTGAAGGAGAGGAGCGGTGGTCAAGAGAGAGAAGTTTGGTAGACTCGATGAGTTTCAGACGAGTCGCCGAGTACAGGTTGTGGGTATGATAATCCCCCGGCCAAGACCTGAACTAAGATAAATTAAAGATAAAAAAAATTCAACCCAAAGTGATCAGTTTCCCAGGGTTTCGATCGGCCCGGGAAAAGGGAGAAAATTGGAATAAAAAAAATTAAGAAAAGGGTCCGATGGAATATCCCAGGAAATATGACGTGTAGGCGGTGGATGTACAGGCACCAGGGCCAGGAGATAGATACAGAAGAAGTATAATAATCAAGGTAAGATATGGAAAGACCACAAAATGCCAACCTGGGACGGGGATAAAGGAAATGGAAAAGAAAAGGAAGAGAGCGAAACAAGAAGAAGATGCGCGGTGAGAGATGAGCGACAGTAGAAGTAACAAAATCGATTATGTTAGATGACGGTAACCCACTCGCTGAGTGGTGACGACGATACAGACAGGAAGGGGAATTAGGAAAGGATGAGGAGAGAGACGGAGGAGTTAAAGTGTAAA